CATCTTCAGCTTCGATAAACGGAACAATTGTGTCATTACAAGTTGACAAGTCCTCATCACCGTGCACAACTATTTCCTGCCTGTCCCATTCGAACTTCACCATTTGGTGCAGAGAAGACGGGACTACCTTAGCAGCATGTATCCAAGGCCTGCCCAACAACAGATTGTAGGAGACAACCACGTCTAACACTTGGAATTCCATGGTGAACTCGACAGGCCCTATCGACAATTCGAGCATTATATCTCCGACAGAATCTTTACCTCCCCCATCAAAGCTCGAACACACACACTGTTCAAGTGGATTCTTTCGGTGCCAATCTTCAGTTTTTGTAGAGTAGACAGGGGACAAATATTCGCACTAGAGCCATTATCAACCAAAACCCTTGAGACAACAGAATCTTCGCACTTCACCGTGAGATAAAGAGCTCGGTTGTGTTCTGTACCCTCCATAGGAAGTTCATCATCTGAGAAAGTGATCCTGTTGACTTCAAAGATCTTGCTAGCTATCTTTTCCAAGTGATTCACCGTGATCTTATCAGGAACATGGGCCTCATTCAAAATCTTCATCAAGACCCTGCAATGTTATCTGAATGTATCAGCAAAGATAAAAGAGAAATCTGAGCTGGTGTTTTCCTTAACTGATCCACAATGGAATAATCCTGCACTTTCATCTTTTTCAGGAACTCCTCAGCCTCTTCCTCGGTGACCGATTTCATTACTGGCATTTGGCTATCCTTGAATGGCTTGGCTTTCCTTAATTCTTCTGGGGAGAAACTTCTCCCAGAACGAGTCAATCCTCCAGTTTCATTAACTTCTTCCTCTATTTCTCTTCCTTTGTATGTCACTATCACTTGTCTATAATTCCACGGAACAGCCTTGGCATCCACCACTGGCAGCTGGGTTACTGGTTTAATGATGATAGGGGTAATAGGAGCCCCCTTCACAACTATGACAGGCTTACTTGGAATCCCTGGCACTAACACTTTTGGGCTTTCTGGACTTGCCCCAATATCTTTTGACATCCCTTTCACGACCAACACCGGTGGTTTCAAATCGAGCGAGCTCTGCTTTTCTGTCCCCCCCTCAACCGTCAGAGGCTTTGCTTTGGTCGAATCTAAAGCTTTGACCAAATTACTTTCACTGGCCCGAATCATCTTGACGGACTTAGAAGACTTCTTGGGTTCCCCATCCTTGTGAACTATTTCAATCATATGTGTCTCTTCATGGGCTGGCAAAGGGTTTCGGTTGATGTTTGGCGCGTCTGGGCTTTGGACTACAATTTGGTTCGTATAAATGAGCTCCTGGATTGCCGTTTTCAAACGCCAGAACTTCTCTATGTCATGCCCTGGAGCATCAGAACAGTAGGCACATCTTAGGGAATAATCGAGATTCTTTGGAGGGGGATTTGGTATGTTTGACTCAATCGGCCTCAAGACGTCCAACTGCCTTAACCTTTGAAACAAACTAGCATAGGACTCTCCAAGCGGGGTAAAAGTTTGTTTCGCTGCTGCCTCTCTCTTCTATACTCCGGCCTTGGTCGAAAGTTTGAACCGGTAAGGTTTTGGAAGGGTTGTGGAGGTGGATATGTATTTTGTGGAGCTGGGTAGATATTCTGCGGAGCTGGAGCATGCCATTGCGGGTAAAGAGGGGGTTGAGCATATGACTGTGCATGGTGAACAAGGTATTGGGATGGCCTGGCTGAGTATTGGGGTTTTTGCGGGGAAAAGTAATGTTGAGGTGGATTATATGGAGCTTGAGTGTAGGTTTGAGGTCGGGGTCGAGGATGGGTGTATTGATGAGGTGAACCCCTGGGGCCATTCCATGATCCGGAGACAACCATAGCGACATCTTCCTTCTTCTTCTTGCCTAGCAAACTTCCGGTACCATTCTGGATTGCCTGGGTGGTTGCTTTTATAGCAGAATAGCTCATGATCTTACTCGACTTGAGGCCCTCTTCCACCATTTCTCCCATCTTCACCACATCATTGAATGACTTACCAATGGCTGAGATCAAGTGGCCATAGTAAGTGCGCTCCAGGGCTTGAAGAAAGTATTTAACCATCTCGTCTTCTTCCATCGGAGGACTGACTCGTGCACCTTGCTCCCTCCATCAGAACCCATATTCTCTAAAGCTTTTGCTGGATTTCTTTTTCACCTTGGTCAGAGATAAGCGGTCTGGAACAATGTCTATATTGTACTGAAAGTGCCGGGCAAAGGCCTGAGCCATATCGTCCCAGGTGTACCACCTGC